TATTTTTTTTTTTTTTTAAAGACAGAGTTTCCCTTTATTGCTCTGAGTAGAGGGCTGTAACATCACAGCTCATAGCAACCTCCAACTCCTGGGTTTAGGTAATTCTCTTGCCTCAGCCTCCCAAGTAGCTGGGACTACAGGCACTGGCCACAACGCCTGGCTATTTTTTTTGTTGCAGTTTGGCCGGGGCTGGGTTTGAATCCACCACCCTCGGTATATGGGGCTGGCGCCTTACTCACTGAGCCACAGGTGCCACCCCACCTGGCTATTTTTTTTTTTTGCGATGGAGTCTCAAGCTGTCCCCCTGGGTAGAGTGCTGTGGCATCACTCACAGCAATCTCCAACTCCTGAGCTCAAGTGAGTCTCCTGCGTCCGCCTCCCAAGTAGCTGGGACCACAGGTGCCCGCCACAACACCTGGCTATTTTTTTGGTTGCAGCCATCATTGTTGTTTGGTGGGCCTGGGCTGGATTTGAACCCGCCACCTTAGGTGTATGTGGCTGGCGCCTTAGTCACTTCAGCCACAGGTGCCGAGCCCCACCTGGCTATTTTTAAAGATGAGGTCTTGCTCTGGCTCAGGCTGGTCTGGAACCTGTGAGCTCAGACAAGCCACCTGCCTTGGCCTCCAAGTGCTAGGATTACAAGTGTGAGCGACCGTGTCAGCCCATAATTGAGTATTCTTAATACATTTTAAAATGGAAGTTTAAAATATACAGAAAGGTATTATACAAATCAGACGTGTACAACTGAATGTATTTTCCCACAGTGATCACACCAATGTAACTTCCACTGGGATAATAAACAGAACATAGGACAGTGTTTCCTTTCATCATCTGAACAGATACACAATCCTACTTTAAGTGTATATTAGTTTTGCTCATTTTCTAACATTATATAAAATGGAATCATTTACAGAAAGGGAAGGAAGAAAGAATTAAGAGTTCAGTTATATACAGTGTTAAGTTTGAGATGACTGTTATACAAAGAAGTAGAGCTGTTATATAGTGTAAGTATCTAGATACACTATTTGAGCATTGTGGGCAATGAATAATTTATGATTCAAACAGAAAGAATATAGGTTCTTCAAGGGTAGGAACTAACTTCCGTTCATCTTGAGATGCAGCACCTTAGTATGATGCTGATAAATACTGATACTTGGTATGGTTGCAAAATGAATTACATAGTGTAAGTAAGTCAGGCTTAAACAGGGAGAGAATATTATGGTATAGAGGACAAAAATGCAAATTTGCATTTCCTTTTTTAGGAAGAGTGACTTCCCACAGCATTTCAAGGTTAAAAGTCAGGCCTCTGCAAAAACAAAATGTATAAATTTATCATTCAAAGGATCCTGACATATAAATACGCTTACTAATAACAACAACAAAAAAGGCAGCAGGTTCTTTGCACATTGCTTCAGTGCACGTTCTCCTATGCTACCTGACGAAGAGGGGACTTCGGTTAGGACACCACATAGCATTTAGGCATAGTATTTTGCTTAAAGATCAATTTTCTGTCAAGTAAATATGCCAATATTTCCTCCAAAATGTTTCAAGACAGATCAAACAACACATGATGCTAAAGTAAGTTGATTATGACAGGTGGAATGTACAATCCTACTTAGGCAGACTACTCAGAGACAGCTAATCACAGGAGAAGAGCCACACTGCAAGATGTGGTTCCATAACAACATGCGAGAGTATTAAGACGGTCTTTAAAACTCAGTATTACACAACTTCTTCATAAGGGAAAAACATGTCTTTTCCTTCACATTCACACAGTATACATCAGAATAAAGGCAAAATGTCTATTTGCAAGACGTATCTTGACCTTCATCAAAAATTATTTCTATGAGTAGTATTTTAGTAACATATTTAGATAGTTTGCCAATAGAATGGCAATTGCTAGAAATAAGGAATAAAAATGTTCCAAAATATAGACCAATGTCTTTTAGGTAATTTTAAACCTCAGTTGTACTGTATTATTACTAATTTTTTAGGATTAACTATAAACACTAAACCTCAGTATACCAGATACTATAAAGGCATATAACAGTAACATAACTGTTACTCTATAATCTCATCAGAACGTATTTGGCTAGTTTGACTGAACATACCTCTTTAAAGCATGGTGAAGGGTTTCTGATTTGCTCTAGCATTGCCCACTTAACCGTTGCTTGTCGAATGTTTCCATCATATTCTCGAGAACTCTGTGTGCCACTGGGAGTGCCTCTGGACCGTTCATATCCTGGTTCATTAAAATAAGGCTCAGCTACTAATATAAGGGACTGGACAGATACCAACACCTGAGGAACAAAGGAAATAAAGAGAATTGTAATGGGACGTTGTAATGGGACGTTTTTACTACCGAAGAAGTGAGAACCTTCTTTGTACACAGGGAAGCTCTTTTAATATATATTTCCATGTATTTCTGTCACCATAAAAATTGATATTCATGATTATGACATTGAAATACTTTATTAAAGCAAAATTAAAACAAGAAAGTCTTTTATA